TTACCACTTTAATCTACAAATTTTACATACAAAATATTTTATTTTGTTATTTTTATATATATTTATATGACAAAATACTCTATATATAACTTAAAAAAATTTTAAAATTACTTATTCGGTTCAGCAATTGACCCGGTAACCCGACAGTTGAACCGGTGACGAGAGACTTGCCTGGGTCGATTACAGGCGGGTTTAAAAACTATGTTATTTAGTCTTCTCAATTTCTTCTTCAAGATTTTTAAATTTTAATTTCTTTTCTTCTTAAAATTTTAAATATAATTCTTGAGGCAAGAATGAAAAGGATTTTGACCGGGATTTAAGGATGGAAGGCTCGGATTTTTGAATTGAAAGGCTAGGCCACGGTTAAGGTCTCACCTCGGTTGTTTGGACCCAAAAAAAGTCTCGGCTGCTGCTGGTTACTCCCGGGTGTGCTCGGCCACTTGATTTGCTCGGCCCTATGGCCGGTAACATGAAGTCAAGGGCTGAAGCAGGGGTGGGATGTGCTCTTTTCAAGACATCTAACCCCTTGTTTTATTCATTTTGTATGATCCCGGAAGATAGGCAGGCTGTTCCTTACCAACAACTGAGTTTCGGTTTGAATGAGAGTGTTGAACCTTAGCTTCTTAGGCAATGGATGCCAGATTTGGCAATATGGGTTTTGCCGCTAGCCGACACAACCTTACGGCTCGATTAGCCCGGCTTCGCAAATCCCTTGGTCTCTGCCCCAAAGGCAGTTATACGCAAGTGGGGTGCAATTTGATCAACAGTGATGGAGGACGTCAGAACAAGAGATATAAGATATCTTAGAGGAAATCTGGTTACTTTATAAGTAATTTACCTCTAACCTTTACATTGGGTGAAATTTTGAATTTAATTTCATCGACGTTGCTACTATCATCTGATCGTTTAATTACAGGCTTGGTCGATTGACTAATAATTATGAAATCAGATACATTTTGAATAGGTTTTTGTCTACTGCATGGAGAGACAAATAAAGCAGAACATATTCTACTTCCATTCGATTTACTCCCTTCCCATTAGTGGCTTCAGTTTTTTATGCCAATATTAAGTTTAAGGTATCAGTGAATTTTTTTTTAACCATTTAGATTTGTATAACACAAATTTTAGCCATATTTTTAAAAAAACCTCTTTTTTAGACATTTTGGCACTTAAAATGTCAAAAATACCCTTACTATAATTTTTTTTTAAAAAAAATAATCTCTCTCTTCACTAATCTCTCTTCTCTTTTCATTCTCTTTTCATT